TTCTGATTTAGCAGATCTGGGGTGAAAAAAGGTATTTTAAAAAATGCTCCTGGAGGATTCTAATGGCCCCCTTGATTAAGTACTAGTGATACTATAGACTAAATTTTATAAATAGAAATAGCTTAAAAGTTACATCTGCCCAAGGTCGCCTTTTAGTTGTATTAGGATGTTGAATTACTTTATTTTTACCACCCACTCTTAAACGGAATGTTGTAAATGACCAAAGTAATGACTCAAAAAAAATTTTTTAAGAAGAAAGCATATATGGAAAAGTTGTTTTTCACATGATAAGAAATGCTTCAAACACATGTTAATGCCTTACTTTCTACAAGTGCGGAAGACAAAAGTACCTTAACAAATACAAAATACTCAGTTTCTAAAATGCATAGCTGAGTTCTCAAGAATATAATGTAAATCCCTAGTTTACTAAAAACAGAGGAATCAGGAAACCCAGAATAATCACTTAGGATTTATTAGAGAGTCTCTGAAGTATTTCCAGTTCCATGGGCCCAGAGCTTTGGGTTTTAAGGGGGGGCGGGGAGGAGAACTGGGGCGTGTGGGAGGGGTAGTTGGTTGTAACTGAGATTCCTGCATAAATCCAGTGGCCCCAGAGGTTTTCAGTGAAAGAAGAATCTACTAGAAAAAAAAAAATACATCTGCTTCTAAGGGATCCAAAGGGAAACTTGTCAGTCTTGGTTGAGCTCCAGGTAGAAAAATTCCTCTGAGAAGTCATAACTGCTTAGCCTGCCCTCATATGGTTTGGAGTTTGAATTTATGTAGCTTTTGTAGTTTAGAAACACTAAACAAGGAAATTAATTTAAAGAGGACCTAGATTTGTGGAGTCCTATTAGGGCTGAGGAAACCCTGGTGGCACAGTGGTTAAGAGGTATGGCTGCTAACCATAAAAAGGTCAGCAGTTGTAATCCACCAGGCGCTCCTTGGAAACCCTATGGGGCAGTTCTGCTCTGTCCTATAGGGTCACTATGAGTCGGAATTGACTCTATAGTAGCAGGTTTATTAGGGCTGAAACAAATATAAATTTTTCTCCAGAGTTTTTTTTTTTTGTACATTGTCAATCTATGCCTATCAGAATTCCCACAGTTTAACATCAAAATTGTGTCATGGTACAAAATTACACAACATATGAAGGTAGAAGCCACCATGAGTGATAGTAAACAGAATAAGTAAATAGCAGAATTAGATTCAGAAGAACATAAATTACTGTAATGATCAGACACAGCATGTAAAAAAGAAGAAGCAAAGTAAGGGGGAACTAAAACAAAGAATAAGAGATTTGTATAAAAGATTGAATTAGGAGAGCCAAAATGCCCTCTAGAAATGAAAAATATATAGTTGGAAACTAATACATTAATTAGTGGATAAAATTCTGACTAGATGTAGCTTAAAAAAATACTTAGAAAATAACACTGAAGAAATTATTTAGAATACAACAGAGAGAGTCAAAGAGGGAAAGTATGATAGAGAATTACGTGGCTGGAGGATATAGTGAGAAGTTATTTCGTCACTGAGAAGAAGGTCTATGTTTCATCTAAACATTGTTCCCAGCATAATAAATATTTTATTTAAAAATAAAATTCACCAGAAGATAAAACAATTCTAAACTTGTGCCCCAACAACTTAGTCTCAAATTACATAAACAAAAGTTGGCAGAATTACAAAGAAAAATAAATTTGCAATCATAGGAAATTTTGACACATTTCTCTAAGTAATAAATAAGCAAGCAAACAAAATATGTTAAGGATATACATGATTAACAGGGCTGATCTAATGTGCATTATAGATAATCTTCCCCAAAACACATGAAACATTATAAAAATAGACCATGTGCAAGACCGTCAACTAAGTCTCAATGATTTTAAAGGATGTGTCTCATGTGTTGTTGTTGTTAGGTGCCATGAGTGGGTTCCAACTCATAGTGACTCTATGCACCACAGAACGAAACATTGCCCAGTCCTGCTCCATGCTCACAATCATTATGCTTGAGCCCATTTTTGCAGCCACTATATCAATCCGTCTCATTTAGGGTCTTCCTCTTTTTCGCTGACCCTGTACTTTACCAAGCATGATGTCCTTCTCCAGGGACTGATCCCATCCAGAGTATGTAAGACGTAGTCTCGCCATGCTTGCTTCTAAGGAGCATTCTAGTTGTACTTCTTCAAAGACAGATCTGTTGGTTCTTTTGACAGTCCATGGTATATTCAGTATTCTTCACCAACACCACAATTCAAAGGTGTCCATTCTTCTTAGGTCTTCCTTATTCATTGTCCAGCTTTTGCATGCATATGATGCGATTAGAAATAACCATGGCTTGGGTCAAGCGCACCTTAGTCTTCAAGGTGACATCTTTGCTTTTCAACACTTTAAAGAGGTCTTTTGCAGCAGATTTGCCCAATGCAATGCATCTTTGATTTCTTG